GAGCCCGTGCACCTAGGGGTTGGTTGGAGCTGTAGTCGCGCTCTTGACTGCTCAGATGAATCAATGTTGATGACCATTAGCTCCTCCTCTTCGGGTACCCTAGTATTGGTCCCCAACAATGCATGATCGAGACACTTTTGCTTTTGGTAATGGAAGATGTTTGATCCTGAGTATATGTGATGAAATCTGAGATGTTTTAGTTGTAATTCATGTTATATTGCTGTTTGTGATGGTGTTTGTGATGTTCCAGTACACTACTCTATTGAGCCGCCTCTACAAATAGACGATAAATTTTTCAAACGACCACGGATAGAGAAAGAACCAAAATAAAATATGTACATCTTGAAAAGCCAAGAAACATTGTAGTTGACAACTTTTTCATTTGAAATCATCTTATCATGGAAAACTAAGTTTAAATTTTCAAAAATTTGAAATTTGAAATTGGAATTTTTTAAATGACATCGGATGGAGAAACTACCAAAATAAAAGTTGTATATCTCGAAAAGTTATAAAACTTTGTAATTGACAACTTTTAGATTTGAAATCATCTTGTCAACCAAACTAAGCATTCATCCATAAAAGATTTCACGTTACAGACACGTGTTGTAGAAACACATCTGTAGTAGTAAAATAAAAGGCAAAAAAATTGTACCCCTACAGGGATTGATCCTAAGACCTTCATGCCCACAACCCCATGAGTTAACCATTGCGCTACGTTCGTAAATTCAAATGGGGAGCAGTGTCTATTTTTTAAAAGGTTTTCAATACATTAAATAGGGTGGCGGTGGGGCTGTCCTATCAGGGTCACACTTCAGACCCATGTTGTAAAAATGTGTCTGTAGTAATAAAATAAAAGGCAAAAAAATTGTATCCCTGCGGGGATCGGGCCCACAACCCTATAACACCCTAGGTGTTAGGCTTGCATAATTGCACTTGTATTGCATGAGCATAAGCATCAAGCATCATTATATGAGCTTTCACATATGAAACATGCAACTGAAACATGGCCGCCAGCTCGCCTCCTTGCCGTGCTCATGTAAAGGAAAACGGTGCCCTCTGCTCCCTCTCTCACTCACTCGTCTCTCTCTTTCTCTCCTCTGTGTCTTGCGCGCCATGGCAGAGGCGAGCCAGAGCTCCATCCGCCACCGTCACCCTGCTCTTCTCCTCCTCCTTCCTCTAGCTGCTCTACCCGCCGCTGCTTCCCACAGCAGGGCTGCAGCCAGCCGCTGTCTGCCGCCCAGTCTCGTGACGCCGTTGTGCTCGATCACGTCTACGCCGCCATGGCCGGCTCCCGGCAGAACGCTCGAGCAGCCGCACCCTCCTCCTGCTGCTACCACCAGTCAAGCTATGGACAGGCACAGTCCATGGCTTGCCGTGGCCCTACAGCTCCCCGTAGGCCCCTCCCCGCCGATGCCGGCTCTCGCGGCCAAGCCCGGCCGGCCCCAAGCAATGCGTTGCTCCCTTGCTGTAATGAAGAAAGAGCAAAGGACCACGGGCAGGAATTAGAAGAAGTGGGAGGGTCTAAGTGCGAAGCCGTGACTCCATTGAATAGTGCCGGAAAGGATCTTTTTGTTCGAGTTTAATTGGTGAAAATTGCAGGGTCCCCGATGCAAGATCTACATCCCTTTTCTTTGGTTTTTGCAGATTTGGATGATCAACTTTGCAAATTCATAGTAATTAGTAGAAAAATAATAAATTAGCAAATGAGGACTTTTTGGAATCCTTGTAAAATTATCTATGCAGTAGATCTATAATATGACATGTTTTAGTTTAAATATTGTTCTGTAAAAATAGATTTATGAAGTAGGTTTTCAATACTAGTTATGTTTTGTCTTTTCATAACTGCAGTTGTGTTGCTCAAATAAATGTGAAATGTTTATGGTAGGCTACATATGATATGTGTATGCTGTGGTAAAAATTTTAGGAGTTTAGGATTGATAGTTTAAGAGATATAAAAATAACAAATGACCTGTGTTGCTTTGCTCCTATTCTGAATAGGCATGCATGTTTGTATTAGTTGGCTAAGTTAAGTTATGAATCATGCCTTGATTACAATACATGAGTTGTACTACTTTTCTTAAGATTTTAAAAAAGCTAAATAGCATAATTTTTTGTTAAGTAGATTTTTAGTTATTGTTGCTTTAATTTCTATGGTTGTTTCTGCCCAAATCCAGACAGGGTTGCTTTGTTGGTATTGTGGGGCCTTTTTAATAGTAGAATTTGCTTTAGCTGTTTATAACAAAGTTGTTTAGAATTTGCTAAGATTTCTAAAAAGTCTAGAACCACATTTATTGGAGACGTAGGACTCTAGTTATAACTATTTAAAGTGGTATGTCAGATTCTATCCATGTTTTGGACAGAGATGCAATTATTGGATTAATTGACCTTGTTAATTGTAGAATTATCTTAAGATGGGAATAAAAAAGTTGTAGGTACCTTCATAGGATTTTCAAAAAGTTATGATTCATATTTGTTGGAGGTCTAGAACTCCAGTTATACTTCTCTGAAATTCCTATCAGTTTTTTGTACCACTGTTGTTTGGGTTGCATGTGCAGTTTTATTTGTGCAATTATTTTCATAGTGTAAATGATGTTTGCCCCTAGTTGTGGTGAATACCAAAGTTGTAGGTAACTTCATAATCTAGCTTGTGTTAAATTTTCATGACCATAGGCCTGATAATTTAGGAGCTATAGATTTTATAATTTCCCTATTAGATTTTGCATGCTCTCTGTACAGATCTGAATGATTGTGTTGTTTGACCCAACTAAGCTTTGAATCATGTCTTGGAGATAATATAAGAAGTGTATTTATTTTCATGATCTTTCCAAATTGTTAAAGATCACTCCTTTTGGTAGTCTAAATCTCTAGTTATAAGCTTGTGAAGTTGCATGGTAGTATCTGTCCAAGTCTGGACAGATGTGCTCAATTGTGCTTGATTGACCTTGTTAATGGTGGAATCACCTTGTGATGATAATAAACATGTTTTAGATAATTTAATAAGATTTCTAGAAAGTTAAGGTTCATGCTTGTTTGATGTCTGTAACTCCAGTTATGCCTTTTTGAAACTACTACTACTCTTATGTCCTAGTTCTGTGCAGATCTGAAACATTGGTATGTTTGACCAGTAGAAGTCGGGTGATTTCCTGTCACGCGCGAGCTATAGCTGATAACTTGATCATGGTTGGCTATATTGTGCTATCGTGGAACATAACCTGGTACTGTTGAATAAATGGAGACCGGATGGAGTCTTATGTTGTGGTATCATAGTGATTCCGTCTGTGTCATTTAAGGACCGGACGTTGGAGGTCATCTTGTCATGTTGAATGCATGCCTCTCACATAGTTGGCCGGATAAGTCATTCCGGCCACGATGCCGAGTAGCTCAACTTAGGCCAGGGACACGAGCAGTTAAAGTGCGCACCCTGGAGGTAGTAAGGATGTGCGGAGAGCCAATGGCGTAAGCCTAAGGGCGGGTTAGAGTCCCGAGCCCCCTTGGCAGATTGGTTGTACCTTTGAGGTGCGGCGCTGGTCCTACCCACGATTGTACTTGAGTTGTACCAAAGGTGAACTAAGACTACCTTGGCGTAGGTATGTCTAGGTGTGTGTTAGGAATCGGTTCGAATCGCCGTCTCTCCCGGATAGTGAGAACTTGACAGGATCACACTTCATCGTAGTAATTGATGGAAGTGTGGTTACGAGATTATGAAAGAACTCAATTGGATATGGTTATTATTGTGTTGACTTAATGATACCAACATGTTTGGCATAGGATAGTTGCTAATCTAGTATGAGATAGGATTAATAACCGGTGATTCACAGTTTAACTGATATTGGACAACTAATGCTTTTTATGCAAATAATGTCTACTAGCTCTACTTATAAAGCCTTGCATACTCCTTGGTGTCATTTTATTTCTGGTTTATGACGGATAAGTCCAGCTGAGTACATTCAAGTACTCAGGGTTTACCCTACCATGTTGCAGGTGAAGTTCTCGGCTTACTGAAGATTGTGGCTAACCGCTGATAGGCTCGGTGACTTTATATTTATTTCTCATCTATATGCTTTTATCAGAGGATGTCACTTATGCTAGCAATGTATTTGGAACTTATAGTAATGTAATCGTTTGAAAGCTATATTGTTTTCACTAATCGGTTTTGAAACCCAAACTTGTATTATTATTTGTGAACTCATTGTAAACATTAATTCCGCTGAAACTCTATGTATGTGATGTGTATTTGCTTAATCATACGATCTTGGTTGTGATGTTGATTTACTAAGATCCTTCATGACACTCGACGGACTACCGGGTTTATATAAGTGAAAGTATACGCGTGTCAACGTGTTAGCGGGGACAAACGTGTTAGCGGGAACAACCGTACTTGATCTTGTATAAATTGGGCTGTTCTGTTACAAACCCCGTGAGTTAACCATTACGCTACGTTCGTAAGTTCAAACGGGGAGCGGTGTTTATTTTTTAAAAGTTCTCCAATACATTAAAACAGGGTGGCGGTGGGGCATCCTATCAGGATCCTACTTCCGACCTATGTTGTAAAAACGCGTCTGTAGTAGTAAAATAAAAGGCAAAAAATTTGTACCCCTGCGGGGATCGATCATGAGACCTTCAAGCCTACAACCCCGTGAGTTAACCATTGCGCTACGTTCGTAAGTTCAAACGGGGATCGGTGTTTATTTTTTAAACGGGGGCCGTCCTATCAGGCTCCTACTTTAGACCCGTGTTATTAACAATCGTCTGTAGTAAGCCAATTGAGTAACCCGTTGCCGCCGTCCGCCAACCGAGAGAGTAATGATAGTGCAAAGATTTGGAACTGCCACTCCGACATAGTGGCATTCACTCTGGCTTCTCGTCTCTCCACTCCTCTCTCGCCTTCCCCACCGCGTGTAGCCCTTGCATTGACTCTGGCCTCTCGCCTTCCCCGCCGTGTGCGCAGCTGCCTCCCTGGCCCACCGCCACATCCGTACCCGCAGCCGCCGCCGTCGAAGATGACGAGGCCAGAGAGGTGGCACAACCTGAGGGACAAGAAGATAGGGAGGTTCGCCTGCCGTTCCTCATCCTCGGTAGCAGTGAAGGAGGAGGTGAGTCCCACGCCGGGGTTCGAGAAGACGCCGGCCTTAAAGAAGAAGGCTGTCCCGACCACCCTGCCGGGGTTGAAGAAGAAGGCCGCAGTCATCACTAGGAAGGAGAAGCACCTGGCAGCATTGATGAAGGAGAAGCAGCTGGCGGTGATGAAGAAGAATGCCAGGCTAGACATGCCCACTTCCTCGGCCATGGCCTCGAGGTCAGCGGGCAAGAAGCCGGCGGTGGTGCTCACGGTGGACTCAGATAGCGAGGAGGAAGGAGAGCCCGTGGAGGCGAGGAGGAAGGAGAGGAAGGCCACGCAAGCAGCGGCGGCGGTGCCTTCTTCCTCGGCCACGGCGCCAAGGGCAGCGGACACTAAGATGTGTGACCACTGCTTGGAGGGAGGAGCCAGGATGTGTCGTTTATGGCTCCGCGGTGGCGCCAACTACGGCGAAGTCAGCGTTTCAAGATCCACCCATGGCCAGGTAATGCACACTCTTTAGATTACAACTGCTTATATGCATGTTTTCTTTCTTAATTTAATGACAATTTTGTTCGTAGCCTCTGAATTGGATGAGTTTGTTGCTAAAATAATTTGGCTCATGCCATTCTCTCATCCCGAACCCAGATGGAGCAGAGAAAACAACTTAGTGTAGAATAAATGCAGATGCAACTCAAGTTTTTATACAAGCAATGTAAACTATCATATATTGTATTTTGCAGCAACATTGTGCTTTGAGTAGATTGCTTTATCTAGATGTTTATCATCGATCAATGATTTAAATCTTGTGAATAATTTTGATGGTGCCACTTCAATATTTCAGCATTGTGATTTGAGTAGATTGGGTTTCATCTCTTTGGGGCAACTCTAAGTCTTTATGTGCATTGTTAGCAGCAGCTAGATGTTTTATTTTTCTAATTTGCTATGATTCTAGAGTTCACAAGGTCATGGACTTTGTAGCCTATAATTGATTATATGAAACTTATACGATTCTGATATGTATGCTGGATAATGAAACTTATATGAATGCAAATAAAACTTATATGTAGGTTTTTTGTTACAGTATCTAGATTTATGCTGGATTTTGATATATGTTCCTATAACTGTTTCTATGTGCATATAGGTTCGATCTTATCAGCTCCCTCTAAGTACCATGCATGAGGCCCTGGACGCAGCTCTGAAACCCATCATGAAGAGCATAGGCGGTCTTCAGCGGAGTGTTGACGAACTCAAGAAAGAGAAGGCTGAGAACGAAGAGAAGGAGAAGCATCTCAAGAAGAACCTGGACGACCTTGGTGACCAACTGGCGTCCGTGGTTCAAAATGTGCATGACCTCCAGAGCAAGTTGCAAGGCGCCATGCCTCCACCGCCGGCGAACAACTAATGATGATGTGATGTTGTGTTAACACTGTGCTGATGAAACTCTATGTGAATGTAAACTCTGTGTTAACTTTTGGTGATGATATAATTGATGCAAACTCGATCTGTCACATATATACTTTGGCTGAAAATGCATCTATGTATATATTAATATTCCATATATATTGTTGTTGGTTTGTCAATGGCTGGAGTGAAAATGGAGGAATATAAGCAAATTCATCAATGCTTTAGTAATAAAAATCACATTTTTCAGTATACTTAGTTCACAATGCAAGTTTCACACAAGTTCACCACTGTTCACAGAGAAGCACACGGTCGGAGCACACCTGATCGAGTACACTGCAGAGAGGAACGAGTTAGAGTCAGACTCGAGCTCGACCACAGCCATGGCGGTGCGGTGGACACAAAATGGCAGCGCGGCGGTGCTCTGGCAGATACAGCACGGCATAGGTTAGTCTAAGGGCTCAGGCAGCATCAGCAGCTCACCGCGATATCGATGCACTGCTTGGTTGAACCGAGGACGAGGCGGAGCTAGATGGCCGGTGGTGATGGCGAGTGCGGCGGCACGAACTGGTGGCGAGGTCGTCGTTCCGCCGTGACCTGCGCGGTAGAGGTAAAAGAATGGAGCCGATGAGCATCACGGAGTCGCATGAGAGCTAAAATAATAAACGAGATCACTAGAGGAGCGCCGGAACGAGCTAGCCACGGCGAGCTGCCCATGGCGGCCATGGTGGCACGGCCACGGCGGCAACCGACGCCGAAGGCGATTGCGGCGGCGAGAGGTGGCTACAACAGTTCGAGGAGGACCGCAAGAACTAGGCGGAGCTGGAGCACGGAAAATGGTACAAGATGGAACAACGGCGATGAACTTCGCCGTCGAGCGGCACGGCAGTGCTTCGGGAGATATGAGGGAAAGAGAGGAGTGCCGGTGGCTCGAGCTTAAGACTTGCTCACCTGCACGTTCGCCGCTTATGGCACGACCCTAAGGCCGCCGCCGCCGCCGCCATCGCAAAGCGTTGCGTTCGCCCGACGCTGCCCTGCCCTGCCGCCCCGCCGACCGCCAGCACTCCTTCCTTCCATCGCCGCTTGTCGCGCTGCAGCCACCTTCAAGTTCGCCGTCGCCGCCGTCATCGATCATCGCTGCGCAACTCCGACCGCCACCCGCCGTTCGCCAACTCCGCCGCGCTCCTCAAAGTCGCGCAAGAGCCACTGCCCGTTGTGTTCCATACGCGCCACGTACCTCCCTCTGCCGGTTAGCACGTGCCAACGGCTAAGTACGCAGGCCAAGTGCTACTGAGGCTATGCGCGTATGGAACATACGTCGCCACAAAATCTGACGCACGATAGAGGAGGACGGTTCGCTATAAGTAGGATTACTCAAGACGCGTGTTGAAACACGCGTCTGCAATAACATACGCGTTTGCAATAAGAGATCTTACTACAGACGCGTGTCACGTACGCGCGTCCGTAGAGTTCGATCCCGTTATCCAAGACTCAAAAATCACAACACGCGTCTGTAATAACTGTTGCAGATACAAACGCTTTTTACATACACGCGTTTGTAGGTTTATCTCATACGCCTTTTACCAACACATACTGCGATGGCGCTTATTAGGTGTTGATCGCCGGACCGGCGACACCTTTTACTACAACGCGCATCGGAAGACGCGCTGCTCGTAGTTGTATTACGTGACAAGCGCGTTATTAGTCGCACTGTGGTGAGGTGGTGGATATGTGGCTTTGGCCGCGTTTAGTTCGACCCAGATTTGGCGCCGCCCAAACCGGCGACCCTCGCGCCGACGTTTTGTTTTATTTGGTAATAATTGTCCAATCGTTGACTAATTAGGCTCAAAACGCATCAAGAAGGCGCAATTAATTTTTGATTTCGTTAATATTTAATACTCTATACATGTACCGCAAGTTTGATGTGACGGGGAATCTTCTTTTTGCATAGTGCCAAATTCTGAAATTTGGATGAACTAAATGTGGCCTTTTTTACATAGTGGCAGCTGCCTCCACCAACACCATGTGATATGGTTGATTGCTTCTGCTGCGGCAGGTTCTGTCCAAGTGCTTGACAGACATAGAACCAGACCTCCTGGGTGTATGGGCATGATGCGATGATATGATCTATGGTTCCTGGAGCTTGATCACACAAATAGCAGTTCTCTCTTGCCTCCAAGCCACGGCGAAGCGCCAACCATAGGAATATTTTGACTCGTAATGGTGCCCAAGTCTTCCAGATCAGCGTGTGTCCACGGAATTTGATTGCGCTCGTGCGCATCATGTTTACGCTGACTTTGCATTGTATGTTCCATCCGGTGTCCATCGCCACACCGTCTTGTCAGGCTGGTCGGTGAGCACGACGTTCTCCATGGTCGTCCAGAGGTGCAAGTAGTCAACGATGGCCGGAATTGACACTGTCGTAGTTTTCCTTAGAAAAAAAAAAAGTAGCTAGCTAGGGACAAAAGAACAATTCTAACTTTTTTTTGAGGGAGGTGGGGATGTTTCCTTTCTTCGTGAACATAAATTAATGATGTCTGTATCGTTAAGTTGGAGAAAAGAAAATTTGATCATGCATGTGAGCATGCATGGCAGCGGTGCAAATTTCTGAATTTTACATAAACTTTTTTGTTTTGTTTCCAACGTTATTGTAGAAATTGTCCATATATTAGCAGTTGCCCGTTGGGCTAGCTACCTAGCTTTCTACCTATGGCGACAGGCAACCAGCACGCAGGCATTCGCTCTGGGCAAAACAGTTCCAGGTTCCAACCAAATAAACTCCAAGCCATGCACAGGGAGAGGTCTAGTGCAGACAATTTTAGCCACGGTCGCATCCAAACAGCCCCTAAATGATTCGTGTCGTACGTAGCCTGTTTGCAGCATCTAGCTTGTTTGCATTGTTTCAGACTCGACCATCCTATTCCTATCTTGCACTCCATGACTGGGCCAGGACGCCAGGTAGGGAGAGGGAGCTTGTCACGGCGTCAGGGCGTGGCCCTGTCTTCACCAGTATAGCGTGGCTATGCGCGGAGGGAAAAGGAAATGGGGTGGCTGGGCCAGATCGCTAGATACGTTCGGCCCGTGACCCTTTCTATCTCTATTTTTCTTCCACTTCTCTAATGTAAAAGTAAAAGTATTTGGCTCTCATTTCCTTTTTCTCTCTCAATCCAAAGGGAGCTCGAATTTGATGCACAATAATTTGAATATTTCTCTACACTATAGACAGCCATAAGAAGTAAGCAAATCGGAGGAGCAGCTAATCCATCAGTGAGCTAGCTAATCGATCAAAGCAGGTGGCCAAGTGGACAGTCATCGGAATCACCCGTGCACCGCTCCCGGTCTTGATCTTTGTCGCCACATCCAGACCAACATGCTGGATGAGAATCCAATAATCCATGACACAAATAATAAGCGACTGACTTGAAATAACAACTTAAAAAAAAACTTATCGTGTCTCTTCTTTCGAAACAGACTATTCCTAAATGGACATTTTTTTTAGAAGGAACAACAAGAGATTTGTCACAAGTAGACAATAGAAAAACAAAACCAGAGAACAGGAAGGTTTGCCAAGTCCCTAGAACACCAGTCAAAAACACAACTTAGCACAACTCTAAACAAACCGAAAGATGAACATTATCAATGGAAAACCTACCTCTGCATACATTAATTGCTCCAGCACACGAGAATTTCTATTCTTCAAACTTTCATCATAGCTAGCTAAAACATAGGTCATCAGAAATATAAACTGCGAGCCAATGATTCACAAAGTAACAAATGAAAAGCATGGACCCGAAGAAGGCACAACTACAAATCTAAATCTACACATGCAGCATCACAATGGGCGCAGGACAAGAGGTCACTAAAGAATGTGGACTTCCGTGCTAGGACAGATCTTTCCATCAAGGTACTTTCTGGCAGCAGCTCGCATATCCCCGTATTTTGACTCTCTACGGAAACAACGACCTACCTTCTTCTTCCTCGGATCTATAGTCAAAACCTTTAGGTCAGGAGCATTTTCCACTATATGTACCAGGAACTCAAGCTGTCCCTTGACCGAATTAAACCCGGTAAGAAGCACGTTCCTTAGATACTTGTATGAACTGCCGGGAAGCCTCTGTAAAGTTCCCCATCCTGGACCTTCGAAGAAATCAAGAAGATGAAACTGCATACAACAATACAACAGTATGTATAATCAGCATATTTACAATGAAGCTATATATGATCCCTAATTCCTATGTCAAAAAAAAATGCATTCCCACTTCTGAGCTGTCAGTCTGTCACCATAGGTTCTGTACAATTTTTTTGTCCATTCAGTCTTTGTAAATGATGGAAGTATTTCATAAATGATGAAATCTCCATTAATTAAATGGCAGACAAAATCTTCAACTTAATCAGAGAAAATTAGTGCTATATATCTGCTAATTTCACACTTTGTAATTGCTTCTCACCCTTTCTAGCGGAACCAGATAGAAATGAGACATGTTTTTGCAACTGTAAGTACAAATCTTAGGTAACCAACTAACAACTGGTGACAAGTTTATTATAAGCATAATAGTCTAAATAATATAAAGTACACCAGCAGTCCTTAAAAGGTTTCCATAGTGTCACATGTGTGCAAACTCTCAGAATGCAGATTTGGGTCCCTAAACTTGTCAAGTATGCCACCTCAGATCCAAATCTCCATAATTAGCATATACTATCTGCCTAGGTGTTATGCCAGCATAGATCCTGACAAGTTGGGCCCCTGTAGCAGCATAGTTCCCAAAAAAAAAGAATTAAACTATGTACTCCATGCTGTTGCATGCTAGGCATCTGAATAGTAATTAGTTGAATTCTTATATGAGTAAAAATATAATATAGATAGTACTACGTAATATAAAAAATATAATTTGTGGTGAATTTACATAGTGGTGTAATAAAGAAATCAGAAAAAGGAAATCTCAAGGTAAAGTTACCGACGAAATACATTTGCAAGGGATCACGTCTATCAACCCAGAAGGGTACTTACATGCACCTCCAGTTCCTCGATGAAAGGGGAAGCTCTCAGGAAAGATACCAATGACAGAACATTAGGAGTGCTTCTAGTATCAATTAAGAGCAACAATCGTAAAATTTTGAGCTGAGAAAAAATGCAAATTCTGTCCAGCAATAAGGGCGTCTGAAAGAAAGAAAGCAAACGGTTAGACAAAAACAAACTTCAAGAGGTACTAATAACGACTGGCGATGTGCTGCAAGAACATACCTCTAAAGGTAGATAAGTGTCCAAAGTGAAATTTTTTACACCCGTAAGAACGTTTGGAAGCACAGTGAGGGCATAGTTAAGAGTGAGACCATACAAATAAACTTGTGCTGTCTCTAGTTGCTTAACTTTACCAAGGTCAATAGGTACTTGTTCTCCATTGTATTCAAAAGTCTTAAGATTTTCTGCTTGTAACTCTATTTTCGTTATACTGCAATCCACAATACGCAAGTACATTAAACGGTCCAATGGTTGTTTCACTGTTAGCTCATCTTTCATGCAACATCTACTTAAGCTCAACCACGTCAGAGTAGAGCAACCAGCTAACATATCTTCAAGATTCTTTCTAGATACAGAAAATAATTGCAGATCAAGCTTCTTCAGATTTGGGAAACCCATAAACTGGGAACCTGGTTTGAAGGATACACTACTAAGCTGAAGATGTTGTAACCGTGATATGCTTGCACTGTCAAAAAGTTCAACGGGGAAGATATACATATCCTCCTCACCTATGAACTCAGCTGGCAGTAAATCCAATGCTAGATTCTTTGTTAGAGACGACACAGCAAAACTGATCCAATTATTCAGATGACCAACAAGCATATCATGAAATTCAACTCTGACCTCAAGCTCTTCAACCACCTCGCCATGAAACTGGCACACTACCGTATTAACAATGTCAATGCATTGTTGAGTATATCTTTTTTTGTCACGGAAGTAACGACACTGGCCACGTATTGCAGTACAATCAAGACTTAGTCTTGAAGAAATAATCCACATACGCCTCCACTTACTTGACAGAACACTGGTCCTGACTACTTCACTGTATTGGAGTTTTGAAAATACTATGCGTAGTACATCCTGCAGCAAAATAGTGCTATGTCATTCGCATTGCCCAAAATTTGGGAATTTAATTTAATCTCAACACCAACCCTTAATAAGATACATTCACGTACCTCTGGGAGGTCTGCAAGTCTAAGATCTGATCTCCACTTTCTGCAGGATAGTCCTTTAGAGCAAGGATTTGCTTTCCTCCTGCAGACAAGGTTGTTTTCTTTCCCGATGCTACAGTACATAATGTCAAATTCCCCAATCAGTTACAATGCTGATGGGCAGTCAGGAGTGAAGGACTGATGAGCAGTGGTAATGAATTTAGGCTGTGTTTAGTTCGCGAAATGAAAAATTTTGGATTTCACATCGGATGTTTCGGGGATGTCGGAAGAGGTTTTCGGATACTAATAAAAAAAACTAATTACATAGCTCACCTGGAAACTGCGAGACGAATTTATTAAGCCTAATTAATCTATCATTAGCTCATGTTAGTACTGTAGCACTTATGGCTAATCATGGATTAATTAGTCTTAAAACATTCGTCTCGCGATTTCCAACCAAATTGTGCAATTAGTTTTTTTTCGTCTATATTTAATACTCCATGCATGTGCCGCAAGATTCGATGTGATAGTTTGGGGTGAAAATTTTTGGGAACTAAACCAGGCCTTAATGAGACAGGCTATGTCAAAACATGTCAACTCCGAAAATATCCATGCATCACATTAAGAAATATAACCACTTACATCTGACATTGATAAGGCCTAAGCATGAACCATGTACAAGTACATATGCACTAAAATCCTTAAACTTTAACCACTATCATACGGAAAAGCTTTTTTTAGTAGATTTGTTACCACAAGTGCTTTCAATTTCGAATAAAAGACCCAGGATCCATATACTCTGCTACTTTTTAGATAATAAAGGAAGAGTCTTTGTTCTGCTGTGCTATCAGATCAAGTGACCAACCATTGTAATTGACATTTGATGCATTCTCTAATTTAACAATGTGTATTTTTTTCTGAAAACATTTTGCTACACAGATTCTCCCTGATTGGAATGAACTTTCACTTTTTTGTCAAAGAATACCTAAAAGTTAACATTAACTTCCCCATCTCTCTACTTAGCATGAGAACGCCCTTGCTAACCAAATTGAATAACCACCCAAGCTTTTGTGGAAAAGAAAAAAACAGTACATCCAGATCAAAGATTGGAGCTTTAAGGCGAAGCGGATGCGGATACCCTTAGGTAAATCAGGCAATCTAAAAATCAGGCACATATAACAAAAGAGATAGATAGCGCCGGACCGCTAGCCTCGAGAAGATGAGGTCTCCTGTTCAGATCCACGAAAACAAACAAATAAATAGTTCTTGGAGGCAAGGCAAACCTCACAGGACGGCCGTCGACACGGCCCAAAACCCTGCCGCAGCGGTCTAGGGTGTCGCAGGCGAGCGCGAGACCAGCAGGACCTCCAACGCCGCCGTCGCTAATTTTGGCTCCCCCAATGGGATGGCCGGACGCACAGCGATGGGAACGGCCGACGATGCCAAAAATGCCCCGCGCAGGGGCGAGGGCACAGCCGACAACTCTAAGAGATCTCCATATGTGGGCCAGATCTACGCCGCGGTGGTCTGGATTGTGTTGCCCGACCTCCGCCGCCCTCGACGTGCTGAGCATAGCCGCCATGGCTCCTATCGTCACCACCGCTCGGGCAGGCCCCTGCGCTCGGGACTCGGGGGAATTTACGGGGGAAAATTTAGGTGGTTGTGCTCGGTTCCGATGCCAACAAAAAAACGAGCCCACACCGGTCACGGCTAGGGAGGGCAAAGGGAGGCATGCTCATCACACGGCGTCCGGCCTGCTCAAGCTTGTGGCGAGCAAGGCCGCGGCCAACATGACCCGTGAAAGCGCTGGTCACGGCCGATGGGGAGGGCTGGTAGCGGCAGCGAGTGTGGTGCACGACATGGATCTAACCAGTGTGGGACACGACGTGGTGGACCACCAGCAAGGACCGTGGGGCAGCATCACGGGCGCGCCAGTCGATGACATGCGGCGGCGGTGCAAGCACGACTGCGAGCGGCGTATAGGCACAATGATTTGCTTTTGTCCAATTTTTTTAATTTGGTCTGATTTTGTCGACGGTGGCATCCATCTGATCTGATTTGGTATTCATCTTTGGGCCTTGTTTAGATTATAAACGGCCGCGCCAGTCGATTTGATTTGCGGCGGCGGTGCAAGCACGACTGCGAGCGGCGTATAGGCACAATGATTTGCTTTTGTCCAATTTTTTTAATTTGGTCTGATTTTGTCGACGGTGGCATCCATCTGGTCTGATTTGGTATTCATCTTGCCATCCTTGTTTTGGTTTAGATTTGGTCTATGCTTTACGAACAGCGGAAGAGCAAATAGAGCCACGCGCACGCGGACGGAACCGGGGTGGACCAAAGTCCCAAACGCGGACAAAACCGGAGGAGAGAGAAAAAAAAAGAGGACATAAAGGACGCGGGAGGAGGCAGGCTGCAGGCATAACAAAAAAAAAAGCAAAAATTTTGGTAGAAATTTTGGTTTTTTAATACTAGATTAAGTAGCGTGCCCGTGCGTTGCTACTGAACAATAAAACTTTTGTACTAAAAACACACGGATCGCACGATACGATAATAGTACTGTTTAATAAAGGTACTTTTGATTATCATGAAAAAGTATTAACAAGCAATATTATCTTGTCTACAGAGTTAGAACCTCTTTATAGATGATATTCATTGAGAATATTATCATTTATCAGTTTCTTTCCCTTGTTCACGTTCTTCTCAACAATTAACATAGTCAAGATCCTGATGTTAGATCTTGCTATGGATATAGATAGCGCTACATATAATTGGCTATGTAAAAACACTGGAAGACAAAGAAACCTAGGTTTATGCCTATTGCAACGAAGCAACAATCATATACACAAGAGTTTGACTTGTTCTCGGTAAGGCGTGACCAGCTAGCAGCCACACAACCACATTGCGAGTTACATACACGAGGGACACATGGTGAGTCACGTACACGAGGGACACATGGTGAGTTAATGCCTACTAACCTGTCTCTCCTCTCTAGTATTACAGCATGAACTTGTGGCTCCAATGATATTTCAAACCTTTTCTAATATGTCCAAACGTCAAATATTTGCAAACCAGAGGAAAACTTATTGCAACAGAAAACTTGGATGACATAGATGCAATCGGAACTTTTGTATAAAGCTAGTAAGGTTCCTAACAAAAACTATTAAGACACTCAAAATAGATATTGTCCACTGCAAAGTCTTTAAACTAGACTCTCCATTTTTTAAAGTATCCGTGTCAGCACTAATTAACCGGGAATGGGGACGTGAAGCAGATCGCTAAGCACTGCCACCTTATCGAGAAGATCGTGAGCCTGTGAATGCTGCCAGCGGAGAGGGACGTCATCTCCTATGCGGTTTCTGCTCAATCTCCTCAAGGTTGCCAACATCCTGAACTCGTCCAAGGCAGAGCTGGTAAGGAGGGTAGGATGGCAGCTCGTGGAGGCCAGCGTTGCAGACCTGTTGATTCCATCGCTGTCCTGCAACCAATTCAAATGTAACCAGACATGCTACAATCAATTGTTTCATAGCACCCTTATGTCCAACCAAAGGAAAACCAATAATACTCTTCAGTCAGCTAGTGCAACTTGTAAGAAAATCTTAACCTGATGCGCTGCATATTCAGACTCTTGCAGATATCGGTCTTTTTTTTTAGTTAGACAACATGGTGTTTTTAGTGTTTGACAATTCAGTTTATCACAAGTAATACTCCTTTCTACAGGCCACTATTTCAATTAATTAAGCTTGCAAATAGTTCAAGTACTGCTCAAGGTTACTAAACTTGCAGTTCATTAACTGGGATACTATTTTGTTTGTGAAATCTTTGATAGTAAAGGTTAATGAACCGAGATTTCTAACCATGCAAATATTACAAGTAATAAATAAAATCAAAGTTAGCATACAAGAGCATACTAATCTGAAAAAGAGCAGATGATGTAGGGAATTAGAAATTCATGAATGAAAAAACAGATTAAGTTGACTACCAAACTTGATCAAACAAGGCACTATTTAGACCACAATGCTAATATCAAAGCTTTCATAAACCAAATGAATTAACAAGACCTCACTGGAAGACATCTTGAGGACAAGAGACCCATGCATTTACCTAAAACAATGCATTATTCAGACGGCGCTGCACGGGCACAAGATCAACTCCTGGCAGGCGCAGGGGGCATGGTTGAGTAGGAATGCAGACTATCTTTTGTACCACTTTAATTATAATAGGATCAGCTCATATCAAAAGTGTTTATGCAACCCCAATAATCCAAAGATATGACTATTTCAGGATCTCAATTTCAGGTAATATAATAATCCAAAAGCAAAAGGAATGCACAATGTTTTCTACCATGAAAAATTTAGAGAAAAAAATTCAGCATTGCAGGCTCAAAGAAGATAAGTTCATAATCACAGATTTGAACCTGCACAAAGCAACACAAGTTCAAAATCATATATCATTGACCCATCTGTTTGATAAAATGATATGGATAAAACCAGGGTGAATCATCCCTGCTGATACTAATTTATCCTGTCACCACAACACTAACACAGTCCACTTCAACTCACACGGTCAATTCTGCAACATTTAGTTTCAGAGACACAAAACCAACGGACAAAAGACCTGAGCACATTCGCGAGCAATCCAAGAAGAGGAGAGAGAGGGATCAATCTCAGGTGGGTGTGACTGTGTGAGGAAACCAACCTGAGAGGTGGTCCTCATGGTTTCCTCGTCCTGCCTATTCCAGACCAGGTCCTCATGTGGAATCAAAACCTGCAAATCATTCTTCAAAGTGAAAGTAATCCTTTTTGTTTGATAAACATGCTGAAATTCATCCATGGTTGCTGGTTAAATGGGTTAATTAGTATTTGTGCAGAGTTGCATACTAGAATTATCAGTCATATGCACGAAGAGTCATATCCACATAGTCACGTACTAAATTTTTCAACTTGCAAGCCTTACAGTTTAGTAATAACAAGAATATTATGTTTTCATTATTAAGCATAGAACTTTGCATCGAAACTATCTAGAAAAGAAACACCATATAGTGATGCCAACAGAGAAATCATCTCTAACACCAAACCTGCAAGCTCTCAGATAACATTAACTGAAATTACCTACTCAAGGTGACATACCTGCAATTTTCCAAGAAGACGCGGCAAAGAATAATCTGAGAGCCAGCAAAGAAGACATGACAATGTTGAATGAGCAAAAATTGTAAAAATATGTCATGCCAGTTCACATATATATCAAATATGAACAGAGAACATAAACCAAAGCTACTGAATTTTGCATGGCATCAAACAGTTAGACTGCACTGGCCAAATCTGGTACCATAAATATAAATTTGGGCTGCAGCTTACCTTTAAAAAAAATGAGAAGTGCTGCCAGTGATCTACAATATATATAAATTTGACAACATAGAAGTGTTGCCAGCGATCTACAATAAGGTTATTTGCTCTCAATGCAAAGAGGTGCTGGTGTCACTCACACTTTTGGACATTGTGGCATTCAGAACAGAAATAAAAGCTTCAGCTACTACACAAGGCCCTATGTACTTTGCACTGCAAATATCGATCGAAACTTGAACCCTCCAGATAAGGAGTACCGTTAACGACACATTAGTTAACATTAAGGCATTGGCATTTGCTCTTGGGTAACAAAAACTACAAAGCCAGCCTATACATGGAAAGGGCCTAAACATTGACGTCATGTCACACTCAGGTTGCGGCCATAATAACAACTGAGACCAAACCAGTTCCTAAGAGGCATTCATCTATGCACAAGCAATCTTATTTGTTTGCTTCAATATTGGTCTGTGAGAAAGAAACAGGAGCAGTTTGGCAATAGTCATCCTAGACAGGTGGAGACTAATTTCAGGGGTTAGTGTAAACATAGCAATCGGGACTGTGTTTATAGTAAATCCAACTTGGGCATAACTTCACACATATGAACTACTTGGGCAAGATATCAAGTCAAGTTCATCTTTTTGAGCCCTTTAGTGTACAAAACACGAACTGAAACTCCAACAAGCAGAGCACCGACAGATTTGTAGTGAAATCACACTGAATTTTCGCTGAGATCATGAACTCCTACCGTTCCAGCAGTAAATAGACCTTGAATTTGGATTCCTTCAGTATCGGGGCGCCCTCTCTCTCCGGCTGGCTGTGGACTGTACTGTCACGGCCGTCACCACGGCCATCCACTGCGCCCTCCTCGTTCTCTCTCCCTACCTTGCCGGCCTCCATGCCTCACCCCGCGCACTCTGCCCCCTTCCCTCCCGCACCGATCGTGTGACGGCTGGCCCGGCACGGCGGCGCAGGGCGGTGGTGCCTCGGGGCGGAGCGGAGGCCACGCGAGTGGACCTGGGGCCGAGGGTGGCAGCCGGACGTGGGCCAGCGGCGGCGGGATGCGGGCGCGGTCGTCAGCGTCGCGGCGACGTGGGTGCGGCGCGGGGTGAACGCGGAAGTGCTCGCGTGATTGGAGATCGCACGGGCGGGCAGAGCGGGAGGTGGGAAGCTCATTTTTTTCGCACCGGGTGAAGCGAAGCGGTGGATTGTCGCACCCCGTTTGGACGGTGTCCAAAAGATGCCGTGCCCAGTCTCTGGCTGTGGCTGGCTTGCCGAATGTGCGGCACGATTTGGCAGCCAAATTGAACTGGACGAGCACGGGCGAGCAAATAGGGCAGCAAAGCAAACACACGACGCAACTGCGGCGCGGCGCGGCGTCCGTTGGTTGGTCGCCAACCAAACACTCCAAAAACCGTGTCACTTTTTAGTCTTTTTTTCGGCTGGTAGGTGGAATAGTGAATTTTGGATGGTTGAATAGTATTATGTGTGAGAGAATAAGCTGAAACAAGCAGGAAGTAGTGTAGCCGAACGCCCTGGATATAGATATAGACTAGCTTGTATAAGCAATAGCAAACTCAACAACAGCTGGATCTAAATGGCATTCCAGGCCAGCTGATTTATTTTGACACAAACTCACATGGAAATTAGCCACCATCTTCAACTATCAGCAGATATAGATCATAGTAGATAGCATCTCCCTCGTTACTGTGTTCAGATTCAGACTACTACTTGGACTGGAGCTGCTAGTTGCCGCCACTCACATGGACTATTGTGTTCATTCATCAGACTTCAGACTACTATACTTCGTTCCATTGGATCAGGACGACTAAGTGTATATACATACATATATGAGCAGCACTACAAGTTGTACTAGGCCGCTGGTGATCCACATCCACTCCTTGCTTCTTGCATCCGCCGCAGATGACCTGAGCTGCTAGTTGCCACCGCCGGGGACGTCGTAGGCACACTGCTGCACGGTGACCTGGTCGATGGGCAGCGTGTCGGTCGGGAACGGGCAGGCGCCGTTGTGCGTGCCCTGGAGCGGCTCGCACGGCGCCGGGCTGACGTTAACCGACACGCCCTCGACGTCGGCGCACGTCCAGGGGTACTTCCTGGACTTGGACAGCTCGGCGGTGACGTTGGCGACGCAGATGCCCCGGAACGGCGCGCCCTGGATGCCCTCGAGCCGCGCCGCCTCCTTGTACACCCCCGTGGCCACCACGTCCTGGTAGCTGATGTTGTCCACAACGGGGATGGCGTTGGGGTCGTACTTGTCGTCCGGGTGGGACTTGTAGTTGCCCGTCATCCAGAACACCCGCTTCATGGTGGTGAGCGTCATCCCCCGCACGAACACGTCCTTCACGTACGCGCCCCGGCCCACGGCGGTCTTGATGCGCACGGCGGACTCGGTGTTGATCGCCGTGATGTCCTCCGCGCGCACGTCCTGGATGCCGCCCGACATCTCGCTGCCCAGCGCGATCACCGCGCTCGTCGGGGACACGCACGTCAGCCGACGGATCACGATGTGCTGGCTCGGCATCCCGTACGAGATGCCGTACTCGTCCCAACCGCTCTTGATCGCCACGCAGTCGTCGCCGGACACGATGTAGCAGTCCTCGATCCGGACGTGCGAGCAAGAGTCTGCATCGATTCGTACCATGTCAGGCCATGTCCATGTGTGTGACAGGCATCATCAATTTCTGTTTAGTTTTGCTTTCTGCTATAATTTCTAACTGAATCGGCAGCTTCTGCATCCTTCAATGAAGGAGCATATACCATACCAGGGTTGATGCCGTCAGTGTTGGGCGAGTTCGTCGGCGCCAGGATGGTGATGCCTTGCACCACGATGTTGCTGCGTTATAACAGTTTTATAGGAGTGAGTGAGCAATGATGTCAGAAGTCAGCACATAAGCATGCTGTCCAAATCATTTCTGACTTCAGGTGCTTGTACAAAGTTTACTAGTTAGTTCCTGACAGACGAGACGAAAGCCTTCTCACACAAGCAGATCACCAACCTGCTGTAGACCGGATGGATGTTCCACGCCGGCGAGTTGAGCAGCGTCAGGTTGGAGATGTAGATGGTCTCCGAGTGCATCAGCTCGATCAGGTACCCGCGCGTGTACTTGAGCTGGTTCTTGTGGAATTTCGACCACCACATCGCACCCTGTCCATCGATTGTGCCGTTGTTACCTGAAACATGAAATCGCAACGTTTGGACATCACAGCCACAGCCAAGTCAGATATGTTGTGCTACATCGATTGTGTCTTGAAATGGAAAAAAGGAACACATTTTTTAGCATGAAGGATGAGGAAAGCATTTCCATGTGCTCTTTTAGTTATCCAGTGCTTGGTCAGGCTCTGAACATTTATTTCTTCAGACAAACCGAGTTCTGAATATGAACACCTTTCAGCCTGAACACTGAACATCTTTCAGGATCTAGTTTAGTCATTATCTGTCGTCTGGTGAATGGTGACAACTTTGACAACGTTTTTTGGGATGAGGGGTCAGGAAAGCATATGCAGGTTTAACTATCCGTTGCTCCAGTTAGGCTCTGAATATTTGTTTCTTATTATGAGAAAAAAGAAACTGAAGATATGAACATCATCTTTCATTCAGTCTGAACACTGAACATTTCTGACCGCTCACCAGTAATGACTACATCGGTCAGGTTTGATCCACCGATGAGGCTAGCGAATCTTCCTCCAATTTTATCCCTCCCTCTTCCATACGAAGGCAGGGGATCAATGATCGGCCATTCGTTTATGTCCTGCACCACCAAACTTGCTTTGTTATCAAAATGTAGAACTGAAAAAACAAAATATCTGAATACGCGTGTACTATTATGTATTGAATCATTAAATCAAGATTTTTTTTCTGATACTAGCATCAAGAATAACGGTTAGTCAGTGCGTAGAAAGTAGTATATACAGTATATACAAGTAAGTAAATCAAGATGTTCTCATTCATTTCTAGAATTGTTTGTTGTCTGGTGACAACTTTGTGCAACTACCAAATGATGTGCCCAGGACACCGCAGCATATCTAAACTGATAAAAAAATATTGAAATATTTGTGATGACCAAATCGTTTTAGCCAGGCACCGTATGTACCAATATTGAAATATTTGGCACATCGGTTTTGTCATATCCGGTCAGTTATCATCATAATCAAAACCGAATTCGTATCGGACCTGGGAGGCGAGGATGACGGCGTCGCTGTGGAGGAAGAGGGTGAAGTGGCTGGTGAGGTTGAATGGCCCCGTGAGCCACTTCCCGGCGGGCACGTACAGCATGGCGCCGCCGCCGTCCTCGCCGGAGTACTGCGACAGGTGGTCCACCGCGGAGCGGAACGCCGCGGTGTTGGAGGTGGTGCCGTCGCCGACGCCGCCGAAGTCCGCGAGCGACGCCGTGTGCGCCCGGCAGGCCGGCGCCAGGTACATGCTCTGCCCGGTGCCGTGCGCCGGGGAGGGCGCGTGGTGGCGCCCCGACA